AACGGAGGAGTGGTTTCTCGGGTTTTAAATGGAGACTATGTCACGGCTAATCAAGTGTTAGAGGTCCCTCAGTAAGATAGACTGATGACCTCATACAGGTTGCCGGCAGTGAACGGTCGAAGATATATTGAGTGTGTAAACCTTATTACCGTGTGATGTGCTACACGATAATAAGGTTTACAGACATTTTCAATTATATATCGTTCTTTTTAGTAGATATTCATTTCTCATGCAGACATGTAGACCCAAATAAACATTTACGCCAAACACAATAATTAAATAAATATCTGAATACAGGAGATATAAGTTTTTTTTAAAGATTGGTAATTAGTAATTTCGCAATCCACTTTATTTTTCCAGCGGGAGAACTTAACTTTACAAAGCCACGCTTACTCGTTATAAATTGACTGATATCGTCGATAAAGTCGTGAACTACCCAAAGATATTAAACGAGAAACCAATGCTCAATGACACGTAATTATTGAAAAAAAAAACGCTAAGCATATCGTGGAACAGTATGAGAGAAAAGTGCACGGACAAAGTTCAAAAGCACGTGATTCCTTTGTATATGTTCTTTTTAAACAATAAATTTTACACGTGTAATTTAACTATTATAGCATCCTATAACTGAATAAAATTGTCGTTTTACCGGTAAAATTTTTAGAAATAAGCTCCAATTGCTTCAAATCGGAGAATAGGGAAAACTCCATTGGTAATGAGATTTTGCGGCTTTTATTTCGAAATTTAATACGTTTCTATTAAAAAAAAAAAACTACTTTTTGCGAGTTGCCAATTTTAGAATTCACAATTAACTATACAAAAACAGATTCAGTTACAAGTTTTTTCAACGATTTAAAAATTCGTTATCGCCGGACATCCAATTAGCACGAATTTAAATATTCATCAATCTATTACGTATATAACTTTTTATACATTATATACATTAACTTTAATTTTGTAAAATTTTAATGTATTTATGGAGTGTGGCTAATAAAAAGCTGAACCGAAACATATTGCTAACAATTCAATACAATATTAATATAAACCATAAACAAAAACCTGAAAAGGCAAAAGACTGAAGTTTTCTAATGCAATAAATCACTAGAAAGTGCCTCGATGCGTCAAGTGCGTACGAGTACGACGTAGGGTTGCCAACTATACTCTTAAATAGAGTATTGTACTTATATTATGTAGATGTGTTCTATAATCTATAACACTGATAAAAGACATTAAATTATTTTCTTTACATAGTATTAATTTACACATATTAAACTTGTTTTATAAGTTCTTACTCTTTATTAATCTCTTTTTGAAATCATAAATACTCTTTTTCTTCTAATAAAAATAAATCATTAAAAAAACTACTGTCACATGTTATATTATTTTTGGAATATACTCATCGAGACCTTAATTTAGATAGTGTTATGATTTTTTTAATGGATAGACGCCATTCATTCATATTTGAATATTTAAAAATATAATATAGCTAGTATTGTTCAGGACAGAGTTTCTAATGATATCCCATACGTAAATATCCATTTAGTCTTTCAAAAGTTATGGTGGAATAATTAAGTCACTGGTAAATACAATACACTCTTTTTATTGGGCAGTCGTCTAAAAGCTGGCAACCCTAGTGCGACGTATAATGTCAGTCAGAGGGCCGCACCCGCACAGCTAGACTGATATTGCCCCCATGCTCTTAGGCATTGCATGCCGCGGGGAAAATCACAAGATTTCACTTTTGTTACTGACTTATCGGAGTTTCTCTCTTCACTCGATACAGTTTTGATTGTAATTTATCACAAGACTATTTAATTTAGTATAATAATTTATTTGGAGATTTCTACTCAAGTTATTGTGAATACAAAAATACATTAAAGAAGGATTTTAGAATAAAAATAATATATATTTAGCAAACCTTAAATTCGCAAAGTTTGAGATCGAAAGTTATGAGTCGATTCAAAAAATCTATGTGTTTAATGTAGTTAAATATAGCGGGGAATATTCTGATGTCTCACAATTGTCGAAAAAAACTGAAAGTGCTAATTGGAAAGAAAATAACGTTGGTGGTTGCATGTATGAATTTTTATGAATTATTTAAATGTCGGAATGGAGAAAGCATCTCATAATTATTGTGCTCCAATTATGTTCCTATTCAGAAGTTACTTTGTTTGTCTGCTCGAAACGATATGACGGATGTGGTTCTGAGATAACACGATAATTTTACCTGTGCGAAGAGACAAGTTTTTGTTTGTTTTATTTTAATAATTCGCAATATTAGAGATGTAGCCTTTAATCTTTTAAAACATTGTTAGTGAAATTAGTTCATGACTATTTTGACGGTTATACTACTTAAGATAACAGTTATCACTAGTTGGTTGAAATATAATATTCTTTCAAGAAGACGTTGTGCAATTTAATATTGTATGAGAAAAATTTAATTTAAAGCACGACTTAACATCGACCGTAACATCAAGTTAACTATAGATAAGTTAAATGTGTATTAAGTTTCAATACAAAAATTCGAAAATCAATGATATTATTTTTTTAAAATATGATGCTACATTCAAATATCATATACCATAATGAAGTAAGAACCAACACATAATCCCAGCTTAAATGGACTAGTTTACAAATACATAAGTACGTAATGAAATCATGTCTCGCAACTAGTATTGTTGAAACCTGTTAGACAATCGAAGGGCTCGTTCGGACTAGATCGTTATTTCTAAAATATTTATTAGGACGTCGATTTCTCGCTGCTGATCTAGAGATTTCACCACTTTCAAATAGTAATGACGCCTCACTGTCCAGTTGTTTTTTATTTCGTGTCATTTTGTAAATCTATACCTATATCTAAATCTATAAATCATTAATTATCATCCGCATTGTCGTCTTGTTATAATGTAATTTTATGTGTAAGTTTTAGTATCACCATCATTGCTGCGAGAGGCTGATAAATAAATAAATAAAGAAAACAAAAATAACCTCATTGTAGTGTAGGAATTATGTCTTGGATTACCGAGAAAGTTAAAATGAACCCATATTAGATTTACTTCTTAAGTTATACAACAGAATATGCACAAATACTCCCAAATAGTCTTCGAAAATTTTAACAGAACTAAGAAGCGAACACTACCATTTAAGCCAACTTCGGCATTACATTTTAAATAGCAGCTTTCTGATAATTATGTTCTCCTAGTACTTTCATTTAGTGTTCGTTTCGTTATAGACACAGATAAAATTAATGCGACACTAACAAAAGGTTTTCACTTTCTAGTTTCCGCTGCAGGAAAGCTTATCGGGACAACCATCTATTGTGCCAAACTCATTGTGGACAATTCCACTGTAACAATGTACCAGAAGTAAGTAGTTAACTTGCTTGTTACAATTATGATGTATCTTAGATCACAAAAGAAACAATGGTACAATACTAATGTCTTATTTTGAATATGATTGCTATTTCAATGAGTATAATAAAGTTATTTTATATAACTTTTCAGCATAAGATTGCAAAAACAATTGTATTAAAATGAACTGGAAAAGGCAATGATTGATAACATGACCACTCTTCGACGCGAGCGATAGATTGAATATTTTTAAAGGAAATTGTGAACCCGACCGATTAGATTTTATTTTACCAATCTAGTTTGCTACTGTAAATTAAATTACCTAATTCAGTTTTTTTTCTAATACTAAAAAAACAATAGAAATTAAACTGAATTAGGTAATATCGAATGTTTTAAATGTCTTTTCTTACATATATTTATTACGTCCATTTTCTAAATCATATTGTTTCATCTATACTAATATAAAAAGAGGAAAGATTTGATAGTTTGTTTGCATCGAATAGGCTACGATAACTATGGACCGATTTAAAAAAAATCTATCACCTACGGAAAGCTACATGGGGCTCTATTTTTGAATCATTCGTCTCGCGTCGAGCGCTCGTTTTCTTCTATCACTCGCATACGACGTTCGCTAAGCGACGAGTGGTTCATACCACTCGTTGCAGTCGAGCGATTTAGAAATGGCGAATTTGTTAAGTCGAACGAAAATCAGTAGAAAACGAGCGCTCGACGCGAGACGAATGATTCAAAAATAGAGCCCCTGATGCGCGTACAATTTACGCGTGTGTAGTCGCTAATACTAAGGGGCCGTCCATTAATCACGAGATGATTTTGAGACTATCTCCCCCCCTCCACCCAAATAACGTGTATTTTTTGATGCCTACAAAAATCTTGATTTTTCACGGCGCTTTTCATTTTAGTAATCGGCGCGTTTGAAGAAAAGTAAATACACGTGATTAACGGACGGCCCCTAACATACAAATTCACCCGGTTTTTAATTCTGTTTTTAGTAAAATGACTTTATAAAGTTTCTTACAACCATTTAAAAGTGTTAATTGACCAAAATACTGTGGCAACTCCTATTAATCAAAATAACACGTTTTAAAAATATGCCACCTTTATGGCATGACGTGAAAATCATTTAAATCAAACTTTATTTGTGGTACTACATCATAGAAAACGTCTATCCAATCAATGATTCACCAAAGAAAAATGTTTGATTTGGCAAGCTGCCGATTTCTTTTCATCCGCAAGTAGTATTGTTTTCCAGCATACTAATGCTGGTATTTAGGTTAAGTGTCACACAACCTCGATACCTGACATTTTTTGTTTTCAACATATATTTTAGCCGTAAATTACAGCTTGTTAGATCCACTAGAAATTTATTTTATATGTACAAAGTTATGACTGCTCTTCAATTTGATTCATTGTGTAATTAATATTGTTATGCTTAAGTTACAATGTTAAACAAATTATTACATGCCGTTTAAAATAATCGAGCAAGTAATATTTACCTGTGTATTTACATTTATGCAAATGACTCTAGAATATAATTGAAAGAGTTCAGAGTAATTTGTTTTTGTTTTAGTTAAGTTATGACCCAATATTCGAAAAGTGATATTTAAATTAGATGTTTTTACTTTGTTACAGGTTTTCATACACAGCTTCAATAAATATATGAAACCAAGATAATATTCTGTGAGTATAATCTACTTTATCATGAATTAAGATAAGCTCTTTGGCGCATTAGTTAGCGGGCTCGATCTGTGATACAGTTGTTACGTAACTTTCGCAATTGCCAGTCATAGGATGGTTGACCAAAAATTTATTATCTCGAACTTTTCCGTGCTTTGGAAGGTACGTTAAGCAGTTGGTCCTGACTGCTTCTGCAGCCGTCAACATCCGCTTATCCTCCCTATTCGATTTGAGTCGATTCCTTCCGACCAGTAGCGGAGACATAATTAGGCTGGGGTTGATGGAATTATGTAATTAATATGTTATTTAAATTATTATAATCCAATTGTTAAGAAATTCATAAAGAGATTTTATAAAGAATACATTCTCGCCTTTGGTTAGTAGAATAAATTTGTTTATAACTATTCATCGTCATAATAATTTTTCACTTATACCATTATGCAATTTTGATTCTCATGTTCTCAAATTGTGCAATTCTTGTTAGAAACGGAAACGACCAGTAGTTAATGTTCACTCGATCATTCTCGGTCGAAATGTATCGACTTTCTCTATGTTATTACTGCCGAAAACAGCCGCGAGCGTTACGTAAGCTCTGTAAGAATATTTTTGTGTACGCGCACCGGTGAAAGTGGCTATACTGAAGGATCATGTTGCGCCGGTTTCGCTGTTTTGGTACCTACTCGTTACACGAAAACAGCTTTTTAATACAATTTACGAGTGTATTTCACTACTTTAAATGTCGTTCCTTGATTCTGTCACGTGATTTTTTTTTCAATAAAAATAATCTCGTGCCTTAATTTTTTTGTACGCGATCCATAATGTGAGTTATAAGTTCAACGTACGGATGCAATCAATGCATCTTGAACATTACGTAACGGCTGTAATTGTGTGTTTGTTTAATTGAACTTTGCTCATGTGAAAGAATTTAGAGAAAGCCGTGGTTACCCTTGGACCTTGGCAGTCTTGATCGATGGTTATGCAGAGTCATTGTCCTTGAATGGTCGGTCCCTTTGTTGCTTTTCGTGTTATGCGCCTGATACGCTGTTTAGTTTTGACATGGGTATTTGTGGGTAATTTCGTTGGGACGAGTTATTTCGATTTAAATATACAGTTTGAGTTTTATATTAATGAAATCGCGTTGCAACTGAATTTCACCGAAGGTTTTTTATTTAGTTAGTTAATAAATCTAACCATACTTAATTTCAGTCTGATGAAAAAGATGATGTGTATATAAAAATGTATAAATTTTTTAAGACAGTTTATGAAGTGATTTTCCCGCTTCGTTTAGAATAATATGCGCTTATTTTTTTCCACTGTATATGTAAAAATACAGTGCACTGAACTCATTCACCGATCAGTCAAAATTACTATTTTGTATAATTTTCTTCAATTTATTTACAGTTCAAAGTATTAAATGTTAGTCACATAGTAAGTCCGTAAGATGAGTCTGAACCCATAAATTATCTCACGGTGTTGCGCAATACGGGATCGACGCCCGCGTCCTTGGGCCCACTTTCTCTTCCGTTGCGCGTGCGCAGCGAAGCGTATCCTTTTACGATGTTGGTCGGTTAATGACTTCCCACTTTACTAGGGCATTTTTGGCAAAGTGAGCGTTTATTTATTTTTTATAGTAAAGCTTTGTTGTATTAGACAATCCTTTATATAATTGATATGATATACTAAAATATAATGCGATTTATCAAAGAGATTTATTCAATAATATGTCATGGAATCCCATTAATAGGGAGTACCATTTCCTTTTCCCGAAATCTCCAATTTTTGGAATCAAGAACTGTGAAGATTTTACGCAACGATTATTTTTATGGTGTAATAGGAATATGTTTTGTAGAGTTTATAAATTTTTAACTGGAAAAGATTTAGATTTAAAAATATATGTTAAGTTTTTAAAGATTATGTAGATTTATTGATGATAACGCCATAATGGCACTATTGATTACTCTTTGAAATCTTTTTAGGCCTTTTAATATTTCTACAAGTTTCACTTTTACATTCTAAGAATTTCTTACAAAATCTTTTCTTTAAAAGTCCATACCCGACCATAATATACATAATTTATTATAACATTTGAAAAGTACTCATGAATGTTGTACACTATAGATTAAATGCTATTACTGGAAGCAAGTAACAGGATAGTTAGCTTTAAATTAAAGACTAATTCCGAAGCCTACTGACCAAGTATGTGTTAATACATATAGAATGAAGCAATCAACAACGTGTTTTAACCAATAATTACATTAAAAGAGTTATTGTTTTAAATATCAATATTTACTGTATTGAAATATAGATAAGAAAAGGAACTTAATTTTATAATATAAAGCATTATTGACATACTTGCCTTTTCTTGACGATACAATTTTTACGTGACCGTTGAGACAAAACGATATGTATCATTACCCATAGCTCTATGTATCGTTGACAAAAATGTTGTATAAGTGGGCAAATAGTCCGCTATCTGATTTATTATACTACATATACTATTATTTGACCAAAATAAGTCAACACATTCCAGATGAACTATTTTTTTTTTAATTTCTTTCGAAGGAGGTTTTAAGGTCATTCAGGAACAAGTTCAATAGCCATTAAAGATGCGGTCACCTATTAATACGTAATTTTGTATACCGGCCCCGTAGAGTACGCCGTTCGGTCAGCAGCATATATTACGTGCTCGACATACAGACACAGATACGTGACACATTATGATATAATAATTTATTTATATGCACTCCATGTTATAATAATCGTAAGTATTGCATACTATTATAATGATAGCAAACATATTTATGATTGTTATTATACCTTAGTAGCTTTAAAATTTTAAATTTTACTGAAGAAATTGTATTGATTACATATTTTTTTGTATAAAAATACAAAACAAATTGATTGATTACACATGTCTCAGTACTCCTATGTCATTTCGAAACTCACTTTACTTCGATACTGACTTTCTTATGCCACGAAACCTTATTTCCAATTCAATATTGTGTTTATGCCGCTTTTTGAAGTGAAGTCAGAGACCTAAGAGAGTTCGAATACAGGCTTGGATTTTTAGAGAATCGCAGAGCTGTTGTCGATTTTTTGTCGTATCATATTTCGTCATTTATAAATTGTCGCAGTTATTTGACGACGTCCGTAGTCGAATGGTTGAACCGCCAATTTCAAGGTGTCGCCCTCTTTGAGGTCCTGGGTTCGATTCTCGGCCGGGCCAGTTTAGACAATTAACTTTTCTATATTGTCTCGGGTCTGGGTGCTGTGGTGCCTTCGTTGTTACAGATACTCCATAATACGAGGGCTTTAGCTACTCATCTTGATATCTGAGCAATGCATGTGATGTAGTCTAATAATATATGTATATAACATCATTTTATAAATATACCACGATACTTTGCGTCAATCATTAATAAAAAGGGCTGCAATAACAAATTGTTGAATTGCAACTCTTTTATTCTCCATTAATTTATTCATTACCAAGTCACCACAAAGTATCATTCTAATGACATTTTATCGAACTGGGCAACATTGTAGATCTCTTTATCATTGATGTGGACGAGGCTGGAGTTTAGAAAACTTGCGTGGCGTGCTTTGAACGACGGCTGCCACAGCCTTCTGACATCCGAGATTGGAAATGGAAAATGTAGCGGTCTTCGTATAAACCAACTTAATGGGATAAAATCGCCCAAATTAGCGTAGATTAAGAAGTTTGTAGAAGCCTTAAGCGTTATATAAACAATATATATTTTATAATATATTTATTTTATACTAGAGACCACAACATATAAATTGTTTTATTCAATATCTCAAGAACTTAATCCAGTCGTCTTAAAAATCCAGAAATATTAGTTTTATCACATAAATCTTTCATAAAAAAAGTTAATAAATCTTTACAATTTGTATTGTTATGTTATTTCTCTCTCATATTTTAAGCTTCTTAATTTCCAGAGTATATATATATTTTTTTAAAGCTAAAAATTTAATACGTCAGTAGTTAAATTCAAAACTTATTTGAGTTTGAAGAATTTTAAACCTCATATACTGTTCTGATTTCAAAAAATATCAGTTGTATTTTTCCTATAAACTATGCTAAATGTTGCGATGTACTATCCTGTCTCTGTAATATGCATAATTCATTATAATATGCATAATTATTATGCTCTTATGTGACTTTATTGGAGCTACAATCATGTACATTTACTACTTTTTTCTTAGTATGGAAATCAGTAATTTTCTTAGAAAACCGGGTCAATTTCTAGTGATACGGAATCTTGATACATTTAAATTTAATTATTATGCAGTAGTACCTCTAATATAAGGAAACGATTATAATTTATTACCGTAATTTGCAATCCGATTTTTTATAATATATCAGAAATATTATTTATTTGGTCTTGATTGAATTCATTCGTTTTATCATTAATTCTTGAATTAATTACTACATGTACTGAAAAATATTTAAATCATTTGTATACAACATGGTGTTTATTTATTTTATCACGTAAGGGTTATTAGAAACAATAACACAATATTTTCATAGCCATTGATGGCGGCAATACAAAAGACATCAACGTCATATCAATTCCATTTCGATTTACAAGTAGTTTTTAAATGTGAAGAAATAAAACTGTCGTAGGTGGAAAATTATATTCATAAATATTAAGCATATTATTATCTACCGTCGTGGTGAATATGTTTATGGTAAAAATAAAAGGTAAAATAATTGTATTCTATAAGTAAAATTTAGTTCGCAAACAATTTTTATGTATGTTAATATACTAAAGAGGAAAGATGTGATGGATTGTTCATTTGCAGTAAAAAAATTGCAGTAAAATAAGCTCCGAATCTCCTATCACTTACGGGAAGCCACATCATACGATAACGTAATATAGGCTCTAATTTTCACCCGCGTAAATTAACGCAGGAATACAGTTATTTGTTTATAATGCACTTGTACGTTGTTTTGCCTTATAATCATCACCCGCCTCCCCTTC